GGAATACACTCTTGTCCTCCCCTGCCTGTACTTTTTGGTCTCTTTTGAATCCTTTAATCCTTGCTTAGTGGCCCTAGCCACCCAAGCCTTCCATGGGAGGAGAGGGGAATGGCAGAAGACAGTCTAAAGTAATTTTACCACTTCCTGGCAGAGTGTCTAACCATTACATAAAAAGTATAAAGAACTAGATCATCTCGTTTGCTGACAGTTTAGTTTCATTCAGAAATAATCTAAATTCTGTGCATTGTGGTGACCTTGGGATAAAGGCGTTTACTGCGTCAAGGTCCTCGAGGATTTAGATGCAAGCATACCTAACTATCAAATCTGAAACAGATGGAAGAAATAAAAATGTACTGAGTTTCAGCACAGTTCAGAAGGTGGTTCTCATTGGCTTGCATAGGAGCAGAACTTAGAAGCTGAGGAATAAGTACCTAGTGTGTATCTTGTGAACCTGTAAATGTCAGACATCTAAATTCTACAAAAGTGAAATTTAGTTGTGTAAAACCTTTTGAGTATGAGTGTCACTGTATCTCCTCTCTTTATACACAGTGAAATAATGTAATAAGATTCTAGTCTGATGAGATATGACCCAATTGCTTCAGAGAGTTAAGGCTTTACTTAGTTGGACTACTGACAGAATAAGGTGCAGCACTCCACAGGTAAGATGAGGAAATTTTGCATTGTGGTTGAACATTTGCCTTGGTTCTGCTTTGGGAATTCCTCACGCAGCATATGGTTAAACTATGGAACTCCCTGCCTCAGGACACTGTGCAAGCAAAAATTTACACAGATTTAAAAGGCAAGTGATAAACTAATGGAGGAAAAATCCATTAAAAGCTATTAAATACAAAGGCAGCACTTCTGATGCAGGAAAATCACAGTCCCTGTGTTTGTATCCTCCTTTCTCCTCAATCACTATATTCTTGCCCTGTTTTATTACTTCTTCTGAGTCATCTGCTGTTGCCTGTATCATAAAGAAAGATACCATTCTAGATAGATCTTTAGACTCATCCTCTGCAACAGTTTGTACATTCCCATGCAAAGGAAATTTCAGACTGAAAGTCATTTGTAGCAGCACCAGCAGCACAAACACAGTTTTAGGTATGAGTATGCTTACAGCAATTTCCCTTTGGCTTAATTCTATTGACTTCAGGAAAGTTATTCTTGATGTGCTCTAGTGTGAGATGACACTAGGGCATGCTTACTTCCTTCAGGATCAACAGATTATACCAGAAAAGTCTAAGGAGACAAAGAAAATGACTAATGCCGTAGGAAAAATAAAATGTTTAGAAAGATTTAATTAGGACTGTGACAACCACTGATTTATTATTTTTTTTTTAGTGTTAAATTCAAGGAATCTGACGTATGTAAGCACTAATAGTTAAGGGAGAATTAATAGTTCAGGGAAAATCAGCCTCTCTTGGGCTGATTGGTTCCTAGACTGTAAAACAAGCATTTTTTTTTACCGAGTAATTTCAAAAGAAATCAATACAATATATGCTTATGTCAGTGCTCACAAAATCTCACTCAGCTACAGTTTACTGAATCCGCTGAGTACAAATAGCAGCAAATAAAACTACCAAGATGCACAGACATGACAAGTATTTCCATAATAGTTATCACATAATTTTTGAAGATCTGTTGATCCTTAAGCATTTGATATGGCTTTAAACTGTGGGAATTAGATCTACTATATTTTTTAATCATATTGAAGGGACACTGCATCTTAAAAATTATTTTTTAAACACTGCTCAACTGTTCTTCCCCTATGAATAAACTTTTCCCCCTTGTATTTTCTGAATAAAAGTTTTAACAGTTGAATGCACTTTTTTCTGCTTATATCATATATTGATTATTCTTTGCCCTTGACCTGTTTTATACAATAATAATCAAGACATTTTCTGTTTTCAAAGACACTATCAATCCTTAATCCTTATGCACTAGAACAAATTTGGGTTCTCAACATTGAAGATATATATTTGTAGTCACTTTTAGAAGTGTCTTAACATAGCTATCTTGCACAAATCTGCCTATTGATTAAGTTCTACTCAAAGTAGTTTTAGAGAAGCTGCAACCTAAAATGCCTTTAGAAATTCACCAAGTAAGTAGACTGTAAGTCCTGCTGCACTAGTGCAAGCCAACAGTCAGTGTCCTATTGTGCTAAATGCTTTGAAAACACATAGAAATTAAAGTTCTCTGAGCGAAACAATTTGTTTGAAAGGGATGATACCCATCAGTAAGTGTTCCAAGAACAGATTGCTGGGTATCTAAAAACTGTTGCCAACCAATACATTAACTGACTTGGTGCTGTGCCTGAAAACACTGTGTTCAGTGCTACGTGGGTTCATGTGATTGGCCGTTATGTTCAGAAAAGATAACATTTCTTACCTTGGATGAGGCTTTTCTGCCCCTTATACAGTGTCTAAACACTGGAGGATGTTCTAATGCAGGTAAGAGGCATGATAATTAGAGGAAACAGTCACTTGTTTCTGTTGTCCCACAACCTTCTATGGGCTGGAGTGGAATCTAAAGCTGTGTTCCTACATCCGTCTTTCTGAAAAGAGAAAGAATATTTGATACTTGCTTAGATCCTGAAAGTTTGAAGTTCGGGAATGGAGATCCAAAAAAAAAAAAAAAAAAGAAACATTGAATAATTTAGGTTACAAGAGACTTCTGGAAATCATGTAGCCCAATTCCTACTCAAAGTAAATACAACTAGACCAAATGACATTGAGTCTTGCCCCGTCCAGTTTTAAATACCTCCAAGGATGGAGATTCCACATCCTCTCTAGGCAACTTGTTCCAATGTTTGGCCAAGCTTATGGTGAAAAAATTTCCTTGTATCTGATTAGATTTTCCCATGTTGCAACTGGTGTCCCTTGCCTCTCACCATTATCACTGTGCACTTTCAAGAAAAGTCTGGATCCATCATCTCTATAGGCTCCCTTTAGGTATTTGAAGAAACAGGCCCGTACAGGCAGGTATGTCAGTTTGACACTTCAAAGAGACATGCTGGAATGGAACTAAATAACAGTACAGAAGATGTCAGATGATTTGTTTGTTTGTTTTACACACTGATGTCTGAGGTTCACAAAAGTACCTAAATTTCTGTACAGCCACTCCCATGAAAAAGAGCAAAAGAAAATGCTCTATAATTTTCAGTCCAGCCTTGTGCATAATGATAATAGCCCAATTAAAAGAGCATAGGTGGCAGAAAGATACCCAAACCACTCTGTGATTGGCCTGGAGAAGATTTCTCTAATACAGCCACTGGAGGCCATAGACTAAAACCACTCCTGGGGGATTCTGATCTAATATGTATATGCTGGGAGTGGGTATGGAATGGGAAGAAGACTGCTGAAACTGTGGGCGCTGCTGCAGTCTGTAGGGCAGCCCAATGATATTCATTGACACAAAAGCTTTGAGATACACCAAAGGTTTCAATAACCCTTGTAGAACTCGGCATCGGAAGGGACAAAAAGTGGTTTACAGCCCCCACAGTACTTGTTCTGTGGACTGCGAGAGTCAGAATGCTGTATTTCAAGAATAGCTCTCTGTGGGAAGGGAATCCACTTCATTTGCTTTCTGATGGAGATGTCCCACAAACAGATATTAAAACTTGAAATTTGTGTTATTTCAAATATAAAAAATGAAGGGGAAACTTACAATATCCCATATAAATGAAATAATCCCATTTCATTACATATCACAAAGGAGGAAAAGTGCTTATCTCCCTTGACCATTGTAAGGTTCCACTTAGACCTTACAATGCATAAGTAGAAAGTATCACTGCATTAGTATTCCTTACGGAGATCAGATTTTATACTTCTGGCTGGAGCTGAAGTGCTCCATTGCTGCACCAATAGAGAAAGAACAATTTGGGACCAGTAAAAGAAGGAAATAAGATACTTTAACCAAGTGATCTCTTCAAAGCAATCCTATTAGAAAGATACTGGACTGTAACTCCTATTTTTAGTAAGGAATCATATTTAAAGTCTAACGTTAATCTATCCTCTTGGCCAGTTAATACCAAACATGATTAATGCTAGATGTTTATTTTAAAAAAACAACAACAAACTCTCTTGATACTAAGTAATGATAGTCCTAGTCATTTAGTGTGACAGATAAGCTTTGAACTTCCATTCTTAGCTATACCACAAAGTTCCATTACAAAGTGTTTGCTGAGAACACATGACATTAAAACACCATCACTGTATTTTAGGTTTCGCTAGCCAGCTGCAACCGGGCTTTGAAATGTCTGGAGACTTTTCTGCTTGGCCGTTGATTAAAATCATAACCTTTTGCCAAAGTGCCATTTGATCATGGAAATATACTGCTCTTTCCTTTTCAGAGCTGTAGCTAAACCACTGCTTGGAATATAAAATGTTAATATGTAGTTATTAATACAGGTGATCTGAGAGGCAAGAGTAACACTGAATATTCCTATAAGAACCTCGTAAGGATTTGTGAAGTCCAGCTCTGTAGCTGCATCTGTTCATTATGTCCACCAATGTTTTCAACTCTCTTTACAATTCAGATATTCTGGGAATAGTGCACATTAATCTTCAAGATGTATGTACTCAGAATATTTGCTTACATGCATATATAGGCACATTTATTTTTTTCCTCAAACTGTCTTTCTGTACAAATCATAAAAATTCTGTTTCTTAGTGATTCCTGTGAAACCTCTCTATCCCTTATTTGTTCCTTTTGCTCTAGCATAAGAAAATACCCCAGATCAATGTGTTTTGATCAATCAGTTTTAGCTACTTCTGCTTCTGAATATATCTAGGAAGAATATTATTTATTTTGGAAGAATATTATTTTTTTGCAAGTTGAGTGCTTTGAGAACCTGGCTATGATTAAAGCTGTCTCTTCAAGACATCAGAAGTGTTTTTAACATAGTCCACAGATCAGAGAAAAATGGTGTCTCACTCTGAACAATGATTGTGAATTTGGGAATCAACTAAGAGTTTAGAGATAATTTAGCCAATAATTAGTAATTATCATTTTGTGTTCTATCAGGTGGAAATCCTTGACTGGAAGACAAAGAAACAGCTATGCTTCCTAGATAAGGTAAACCAAAAATCTGTATAAAATGCTAGATGCTATTTGAAAATTACTAACTTTTCTTAAGTAAACTTAGTGTTTCTGAAGGGTATTTCATCTCCTGATATCCTTTCTTTGGCCACTGAAGAAGCAACGATTATGCACACTTCTACTGACTACAGAGTACTTCAGCCCTTCTCCAGAAGGAGCTTTTAGGCAAAGAGTACAACTTCAGCTGCTTCACTAAGATGGTGCCAGTTGTGCCTTACTCACTCATAAGCCATCAAACTGTCACTACTGTTGTAGTAACTCTTGATCACTGCTAGAGAAGCTGCCTCTGAAACAGGTGCCACAAATTGTCCTCCCTTTTTTCTGTAAGAAGTACTTCGAATCTTCCGTGCCAATCCTAGCCATCTGTAAGAAAGTTACAGTTATATTGGTTGAATCACATTTTTGTTTGAATAGTCTTACACCTAGTAGCTGTCTTTCAAAATATGCATCTTACATACACAATATTTTGTTGCCTAGGTGGAACCAAATGCCACAATTAAGGAGATCAGATTGATGTTCCATAAATTATGTGAGTATAACTTTTGCAGCAGTTCACATCACATCAGAATATCCAGTATATATATATATATCCAGGAGAAAATTATATAATTTGAAACATGTAATGTACACACACATAATGCTGATTAACCTGCACATGAATGTGATCACAGTGAGATTTCTGTATCATTTTTTATACTATCCTGATAAACCTTTGCATTTTTCTGCTGCATAATTTCTTACAGATAGTCATGTTGAATAAATATTCATAAAAATATTTAACTAAATCTTATCTTGTTGTGTTGCATTCATTATAATAGTGGATGATCTAAACCAAACATTATATATCACACAATGCTGTATGGTCTTACAGATCCTCGGTGGTATCCAGCAAGGCAGTCGATAAAACTTGATCCAAGTAAGTACTTGTGAGGACTAGAGCAACAAAGCTCTGAGCAGGGGCCTGGCATAAAAGGTGTACCTTGCATGGGTATGAGCTCTTAAGAGTGAGTTTCCAGCTATGTTGATTAGCACTATGAAGGCTGAAAGGAAGCCAGAACAAATTTAATTCTTTCAAAGTATTGATCAGAGTTCCACCCGAGTGCCTGGTGCTTGGTAATTAACTCAGGAGTCTGCACATTGTTACAATGCACTTTCTAACTAGTGACCACTTTTGCGTTCAAGACAGGCAGCACAGAATCTAGACACTAATTTTCCTTAGCTGCAGTGAAATGATTTCCACAGTGATGCTCAGCTGGGAGTAGTAAAAAGGGTATGAGTTAGAGCTATCAATTCTCATAATCCTCTGCTCTCAGGCAGGAATTACAGTTCTTTTGAGGTAAGCTAATGCAAAACACATTGCCATGGATGTAGGATTTGCTGACAAAGCCGATGCCAGCTGGCTGACTTCATTAATGCAGTTGTAGGTAATGCTACTAGAAGCCTCTTAGTACATGGCCTGAGTGCACAAAAGAAAGTCTAATTGCCAAACTCTGTTAATTCATCTTAGCATTCATTATAAAACGTAGCACTTTCTTCTTTTGCTTCCAATAAGTATAATTTTACTTAAACAGTCCATTACAAGCATGCTGGTGAAGATTAGTTCATTGTCTAGAATCTGTCCATGGAAAACGAGTATCTTATTTCCTTTTTCAAAGGTTTAGCTTGTCAGATTCCTCCATGGACTTACGTTGTGAGACTTGCCATGAGAAAATGCCTGCCTTCTGGCAATTCCCCCTAATCTAGGTCTTAAAAGCTCGAGTACTAGCTCAAATCCTATGGAGTCACCTCCTAGCTGGTTGGTTGGGAAAAAAGAAGGCAATGAAAACCTCTGTAGGAGAGCCTTCCAATCGCAGCTTATCCTAGCTTCTGTTTGTCTGATGATGAACACTGAGAAGAGAGGAAGAGAGAGGAGAGAGATGGAGGTGCATCTGACCAGGAGGTCAGTGAACTATGTTAAAGGGCAGTGACCCATCAGCAAATTCTGCTGTAGCAGTGATGAAGCGAGACTAGACTAGGCAGGCACATAGGATTGAGAATTCTCCTAACTGTCTTGGTGTGAATAGAGGATCCAGATTTATATGTGATTACAGGGAAAAATCAAAATTAAGTATAAACATTCTTAGTTTGTTTATTGAGATTCCAATAAACCCACATCACATCAAAGAATCTCACAGATTGGTTAAAGCACAATCTAAAGCTAGTATGCTACCAAAGTTGACCTGAATTTCAGTGAAATGTAATTACTTCTTTCCTTCTCAGAAGGAAAGTCCCTGAGGGATGAGGAAATCCTGCAGCACCTCCCTGTTGGCACAACCGCTACCTTATACTTTAAAGATTTAGGGCCACAGATAGGATGGACTACGGTGAGCTATGCTTCAAGTCTGAGCCATTTTAATGGCTATTTTTCCATAATTAATCCTTACATCACTTTTTGTCTCTCTCCAATATTTCTGCATGATGCCTGCTCTGATAGTGGATGCAGGCAAAGAATCCTCATTACTTCAGTTCATTTAATCAGGGAAAGCAGTAACGATATTCTGAATGCCTAGTTCCCTGGGAGAGCAGCAGTGGAAAACTTGCTGCAGGGTAGGTTGGCTCTACTGAACTAAGGTGCAGGTTCTCAAGTGGATTTAGATGTCTACTGCAAAATCACTAGGAACTAGGTGTCTAAATGCCTTTGGGGGATCTGCTTCACAGCCTGTGTAACACTGCTGATAAATATCAGGATTATACTCCTATGCGTTCGTCCTGCACAGAGGCATGTGAGCAACTTCACAGGTCAGTCATTGAAGTGACTTCAGCAAAAATTAAGATCAGTTAGCTGTCTGCATCCCAGGATGCTAATGGCAGGCTAATGACAGCTGATAATTTCATTCAATATTAGTAGCCATGCACAAAGACCTCACATATTTACTATCTTAGCTCAAACGCAAATTCCATTACAACTCACTTGGCAGGCAACACAGCACTACTGTTTATGCAGTGAGGTGACCAATGACCTTCCCAGTTCTTCAGAAGGTCCATGATGCACATATTACACTAGATGTAATGAAAGACACAGCACAAAGGGAAAAGTAACCCGTAATTTAAAGGCACATTTACCGTTTCTTAGCTGTGAGACATTAATAAAATCTTGTGTTAATGACAAATAGCAAAGACAACATTCATAGGAGGTAAAGTAAAAAAAGTGAAACATTCTGCAAAACTGAATCTTCATGTCATTACTTTGGATGGAATGCTGATAAAACAGATAGCTATTATACAAACCAAAACACAGTAAGACAGGCAAAAACTTCTAATGAAATGCAGACTCCAAGACACACATGCATTAGTATATGCAAAAATATCACAGTGCAGAGTAACACCAGACTTCTGTCGTTCCATAATCTTTCATTTAGATTCTGCTCCTCATGCCCTTCAAGCTACTTCATTCAAATGTAAGCCAAGAAATACTTCAGTTTTATCAGATAAAAAAGACAAACTTCTCATCTACAATCAAATCCCATCTTCTCCAGAGAAAATGCTGATTGTTACTGAAGTCAATAACAACTTTTCTGAGTGTCAAAATAACTCTAAACACATTAGAAAACAGTGGTTGTTTTTTGGTGTTCTTTTTTTGGTAGAAGTACAGTCAATCTCCCTTCTTTCTCCATAACTGAAGTACGGGCCTACCTTCCTCACATATAGAAGTGTGGAAAATTCAATTGTTAATATTTGGTCCAAAGTTAACTTCAATTTAAAGTGATGATCCTAAGAAATGCACACCTATCTGAAATGAAATCAAGTTAGATAATAGCTTCTTTGGTTTGCTCTCCTTTTTTTTTAAATTTGTGTTCAAATTAAAGATTGTTTGAACATAGAATGAATTGATTGTTTCCCGAGACATCTGCTGTGCTAACTGTTCATACAGATGCAGTCACCTGTGCACACTTACTGTGTTTCCAGTTTAAACAAAATTCATTCATTAGAAACAAAGCTCCTCTTTTTCAGTATAAATTCTTCGCCCAATTTCATTTTAAACCAAAATAAAGCAACAGTGTTTGAGGTCAAGAGGAGGGTGAGAGCTCCATAAATGTAACATGCATGCAGATTTATCATGATCTCTAGTCTGCCATGATTATCTTTTCATACCCATACTGCGTCAGCTGCACTGGCGATGGCTGTTTGTATGCAACCAAGGCAAATGCATTGCAAAACATTTACATGCATGTCTGCCAGTTCCATAGCCCATGCCCAAACCTGCTATTCCCTCCCTGCCTCTCTAAATGCCATTCTGGGCCAGAGGAGGTGTATATTCCACTGCATTAGTTATCACAAAGAAACCAAACCAAAACCATCATCTAATTCAGCTGTCTAATTATTTTCTCTCTTTTTGCAGGTATTTTTGATAGAATATACAGGTCCATTGTTCATCTATTTTCTGTTTTATTTCCGCATGCCTTTTGTCTATGGACTGGATGAGAGGTTTACATCAAGCCCACATCCAGTAGTTAAGTAAGTCTGTTTGCAGGCTTGAGCAGTATTTCTTGTTAGCATTGTAGTCTTATTCCAAATGTCTTGCCACACTTGTTTTTTTAAGCACTCTTAAATGCTTTTGTCTTGCTGTTTCTAGCTTGGCATGTATCTGCCATTCTTTCCACTACATCAAAAGGTTGATTGAAACAGTATTTGTTCATCGGTTCTCCCATGGGACTATGCCACTGAGGAATATTGTGAAGGTAAATTGTGTCAGAATCTATCCATAGCCCCCCCCCTTACAAATCCAACCCAGCAAACCTACGCTCTGCCTCTGCAGCACAGATTTTTTTGGTGTGGCTTTTGCAGTAATGCACAGCAAATCTCACCCATAAAGCTGTAGTTCTTTCACAAGATTTCTTAATGTTTCTACTGTATAACCTACATGTTGCCATACTGTTATTCATGTTATAGTAGTCTCATTGCTCTGTTAGAATTTTAGACCTTCAGCATACCCTTTCTTTTTACTCAGCTAGCTCCTTAGGTGTAAAGGCTTTAGTAACAACATTAAGGTAGCACAGGCAGGTACAATGTTGAGAGGGTTGCTTTTTAAAAAAAAAAAATATCTAGTTTTTGTAACAGTCATTTTACATCTTCTTTGCCCCTAACGCTCTTTGCTGTCAAGCAGCTGTTAATTTATCTTTGATCTAATGCAAAGCAGCTTGGTTGTTCTGCATTTTCTTCTCCAGCAAGAGCACTCCCTAATGTTACCGGTGCTGCTGTGGCATAGGGCAGCTGTTGGGATGCAGATCCCCTATTTCCTAGATGTCTGTGTAGTAGTACAGTGGACTGCGTGGTTATGCATGGGCTGTGGTTATTTTACAAATGTTTGCAACAGAGTACACACTAGTATTCAAAAATACGCTTTATACTCAGGAAAACAGGAGACTATCATCTACAACTAGAAAAGCGTATAGTATAGTATCAGCATTTGGGTATTTAGCATTTGGTATTTAGACAGTCACTTGGCATTTGCATTATGGCAGTGATACTCCCAGCAGCTGAAACTCTGCTTTGTGGCTAACTCCTTACAGCTGTGGAGCAGCTCTGGTAGTTCTGGCGATGGCTTCATGCTTTCTAAATGGGAGGAGGATCTGTAGTTGAGCAGCGGCCCTCAGAAAGAATCCTTCCTAGCAATTTACTGTGTTTTCTGCAGCAGAGGAGTGCAGGGGTTGTTAAAAGGGCTAGCAGATCTTTTAAGGCTTGTTCTTGACACAACAGTAACTAACGCATGCTAAACAGTAGATAAATGAGCAACTTTACCTTGGAAAAGAATCTGTACTGTGTGATAAATCTTCATTTTCTCACTGCCATCTCCGACAACTACTTGTTGCTTTCAGAGCATGCAAACTGTTGTTGCTAAAATTGACATTTGTAGCAGTCATTCTGATCACTTCTACTTTTCCACCTTCTCAGGTCAGTGGTACTTGCTTTCATCTGTAAAGTTGCTTACAGTTCTTCTTCTACCTGCTCAGCAGTGCTTGGGTTTGATTTGCTTTTATAATTTCATTGACTTTGGTGGTGTTACTGCAAAATTGTGCCAGTGAGAAAAATATCACATCCTCTTCCCTTTTTGCTCTCACATACAGATGGTAGACAAAGCTTCCTATTTTAAGTTTTTGATCACATACATAGCAGATATAGCTAGCTTATTTCCTGAGCACAATGGAAAGCTACCTTTAAGAAGAGACACTTAAGTCTCAGTAAGCAAAGATCTGAGACAGGAACTGATGAGATTTGTGATTTTCATCCTTTGTTTACCAAATGGAAGTAGGAATAAATGATGCCGTAAAATTCAGCAGGGGTTCAACAAAGGCAGTTCTTGCTATATACTAACATAGTATAATTCTTTCTAAGATACGTGATTTTTCTAGGCAACGGAAAGGTAGAATACCAGATCTATCTGGTCTTAGTAAACAGCTGGCTTAGGGTGAATAAGATAGGGATTAATACAAAAATTGGGTAGTGATAAAGGAACTAAAAGAATGATCATGGTTGTGCCAGAAAAGGATCTGTCAGACCTTTAATAATAGGGAGGTAACAGTGGAATTCCTCAAAGATTAGTCTTATGACTGGTCTTACTGCACATTTTCATGGGTAGAAAGAAGAGATATTGATGCTTTCTATAAAAACAACTGGAGGAAAGAAAACACTAGACTTCAACAAATACCATTTAAACCAGAAGACAATATAATGAGACAGTCAGAAGGGTACATGCTGGTCATGAATAAATATAGGCAGGGCATTAAGAAATACTTTTGATCATCATAGGGATCATCAATTGGAATAGAGAAGAGAAAAATTCTAATCATAACTTTGTAAACGTAGGAATAATTTATTTATGGGATCCCTGCAATATCTGAACTTGATCCACAAAATCTTTTTATAAGAGATCGTTGTAAAGATTTATTATTCACCCAGAATATGAAAGATTCACAGAAACAATTTCTTTCTTTCAAGTGAGTTTATGAAGTCTGCATGTACTCTGCTGTTCCTATCTGAACATCACTGGAGGTTTTTGTATGAGCAATAAGGCTTCTAGTGACAGCTGGACATTTGTAGGGTTACTGGTAAAGACCTTAGCAGTGGCAGACTCCATTCATCTTAAAGCTCGTTTTCTTAAAACTGAGGACTACTCTTGCAGTAAATCATGTTCTTTGGATGAATAGGGCTTGTTCAGTTTAATTACAGCATGTATTGTTGGGAGCTGAGCCACGATAATTTATTTCTTTATTTAATTTTACTTTACCAAAATTCATTGCCATATTATCCATCCTGTGCCAAGCCCGAAAGTTAGGGAAAGGTTTTTCATAAGATGCCATTTCAAGATTATGAGAAACTGTTTCCACCTAAGTTTGTACAGCAGTTAGTAAATTGTAGGTGATGCTGGAATAAGCTAGTGTTAGGGAAGAAGCAGTAGTTTATGAATAGGACACTAACTAGATTGTTCCTCACTGCAGTCATTCTTCTGGCTCTGCTGCTTTTCCTGGAGGAAAGGGAAGTTGTCAAGGGAAATTAATCTCTCTGCTCTTTTGTCCCACCTGATATGTAATTATTGGTTAATAATTTGCTCTTTCTCATAAGTTATCTATTAATATATAATCTCAGAGCAAGGACATACCAGGTGCTTGTATTACAGCATACCCAAAATGATGTCCGTTTTGTCTGAGGTCTCTTGGCACTTCAGTGGTTCAATTAACTGTGAAAAGAAAGTAGAAACACAACAGAATGTTTGATACAACTGTTTGCAGTTGATGGAGGGTTTGCCCCTCACCAGCATTTTCAGAAAAACGCTCCGTCAGACACTGCAGACAGCTAGTGTGGGTTGCAGACGCTGAAGTCATCACTTTTCGGGATATTATTGCTAGAAATGCAGTTCTGGTATATATAGGGGGAAAAGGCTGCAAAATTCAAAGCAAAAAAAGAAAAACCTAAACCCATCAGGACAAGAAGGAATGCAGCATTGAATAAGAATTTTGGCTGCGTGAGCAGGAAAGGAAAGCTATGAAGGAGAAAGCAGAAGGACGTAGAAATGTCTAAGGTACATGAACTTATTGGAAGGCTAAGAAAAAAGCACTGCCAGAAAGAGTAAGAGGATCAGTGTTTTACTCTAGAGTGAAAATAGGAGGGAAGGAAAGATAAGGGGAAGGAAAAGAACTGGAGAAGTGCTAAAAGGAAGATAAAGAGCTCAGTTTTGGTCTTGTTGAAGTCCAGGTGATAACCAAACATGCCCTAAAGCATTAAAAACTGAGGCACCAGCTTTGATAAAGGAAGAAGCCTGAACTGATGAGAGGCAAATTTATGAGTTGTTGACAAGGGTTAAAAGTCTGTCTGCAACAGAATGGCACCTAGAAATTAGAGCATAGAGGAAGAAGTGGAATAGGCCAAGAAAGGGCTTCCCTCCTACCTACAGATATACGACGAAGGAAAAGATGCCCTGTCACCAAGATACTGAAGCAGCAATGAGTGTCAGAAGAAAAACCACAAGTGGTAGGGCCAGGAAAACCAAACAAGAGGTACAGATTGTCATTGTAAGTAGTTTTTCTCATGGAAGAAGTCTGCGAACAAGCTCTGAGATTGGTCAGGAATGAGTCAGTACAGCTGTTAGTGCAGCTATGTTACCAGAGTTTAGAGAATGGAAGCTGGCTCACAGAAAGCCAAGGACAGCAGCAAAAGGGACAAATAAAGATATTGCAGTGAAAGGGCAGAGGAAAGTGTCAGGCATGATGATTTTAAGTATGAAAAGTTAAAGCACGAGAAAGAAAGAAAACTGATGGGGTGAAGGAGAAGAGGAAAGTAAGAGATTGGGCAATACAAAGCAATAAACAGGGAAGAGCGCACAGTGCCTACATCTGGTTTCACAAAGTCTCAGGGATTAGCAAAACAAGTCTCTCTTTAATTCACAGTCTGCATGGCCCTTCATCTGTGGCCAAATGGCTTGCCAGACAAGATAAATTCGTTTTCAGTAGTATGATTGTACTTTCTAAAACTGTTTATAAACTTAACAGCTCCAAGAAATTTGAGAGGAAATCTTACTGTATAAGCACTACTTCCTTCCTGTTATTTTCTGTTGTCTGCTCCCACCTTACCACACTTAGTATTGTCATTTTTTGTTGTTGTTATCAGCAACTTGAAGGATCAGCCCAATTCATTGTAATCAGCGGTCCTTGCAGTGAATACTGGCCTAGAGAATTGTACTAAAACAAAGAAAATGTCCCTGTTTTTCAGAACTGCTTATATTACTGGGGATTTGCAGCTTGGCTTGCTTATTACATCAATCATCCTCTTTACACTCCTCCTTGTAAGTAGCAAAACAACCCTCAATATGATTTAAGTACTTATGTATTTGTGTATCACTAATCACATGTGAACTTTTTTTTTATAGCTTATGGGAAAAAACAGATAAATTTTGCTGTGATCATGTTTCTGGTAGGTTTGTTCTTTTTATAAAATGCTAAAACACGTTGCTTTATTTCTTATTTTGTGTAAGTTGAGGAGTGAGTAGGATAAGCAGATCCTTAGAACTTGAACACTTGGGATATCCTACTAAAGCTGACCACTTGCATGCAGAATGGGTAAACTCGTCAGTTTTCAGTGTGATCTTGTACACAACCACGATAACAAGGGAAGATTTTTATTCTGTATCCATTCCAAGACTGGGATATTTATCTACTGAGATGATCTCTCATAATCTTTAAAAGAATCCTGGATCTACCCAGTTTGTGACACTGTGTTTAAAAGCCAGTGAGTTTGTTTTGCGATCAAAATTACAAAACTGAGTGTTATGAATCACAACAGATCATAAAACTCAGAGAACTGGCCAACAAAGAAAGTATGTTGCTGATAATTTCCAGGAATACAGGTTCATTTTGCTGGACTTAAGAAATTTTTCACAGCTTTCCTTATGAAACAAAATTCTTAAGTCACTCTCTGTTCGTACTCGCAGTTCCTAGGAACATTTTATACATGCAGAAGTAACATTAGTGTAGCCAACAAAGATATACCCGTTTTTCCCATGTATGTGAAACTTGTTTAGAACATCAGCTGTTTACTTGCTTTGAGAAACTAATTATCAGTGACTGCAGGATCTCGAAGCAGCTTCCCAGTATGAAAATTCCGTGAGATCACAATCTATTCCCGTTTTGTAGAGAGACTACAAAATGGAAGGCACAGAGCTGAGAATAAAACTCAGGAGCTCTGACCACCAGTCATTTGCTTTAATAGTTGTGCTTTGCAGACACCGGAGACTGTCCATAATCACATAAATGGGTCATTTCAATACACATTCTGCATAATTGATTGGGGAAGCATTGTTTAAAACCAGTGGAGGAAGCTGGGTCAATTATATTTCATGATTCATATCAGTTATACTCTAGAGAAGAAAACTTACTTAGAGTCCAACCCGTATCTTTCTTGGGATTTTAATAACTTTCGAGAAGCCAAAACTATCCAAATCAATTTTATGAGTGTTTTTAAAGACATAAGAATAACCAAAAGACAGCAAATATCTCCTGGGTTTACTTTTATCCCTTTTGGTTTATTGCCTTTAGATCTCATGGGGATTATATAAATAGTAAATTTGATCTTTTGGACTCCGAGTCCACATTTGCTGGCAAATACCATAAGTATATAAGAGAGTATAATATGGACTCATGTTTGAACAAAAACATTCCATCCTTCTGTCAGACAGTGATCTTGGTTAAGGATATTTATTATGTTTAGAATATATTCTTTTCCTTTTGTTGTGGGTTAGGCCGCTCCAGCAAC